CACTCGCTGTTCAGTGGGATTGCTCACCGGGACCAATATGCGGGTGCTCTGCACCTTCCACCCTTATCTACATCAAGGCTAGGTGACTACAAGCTCCCATCATGACAGGGCTGACAGCAATATGCGCCCACGTCATTGAGCTCCAGATGACTGTACACGGCGCAAGGCAACAGAGAGCAAGGACCAAAATACAGCTCTGGCATCTCCCTCTGTAGGGCCGAGGCTTCGTTTCTGCCTGATCACCGGTGACCCAGGGAGTGAAATCAGCAGGGAAGTCGTTTCAAAGGGGAAGAAGGACCAGATCAATCTTGGCCTTCTCCTAAAATCCTGCACCCATCCTGGGTGGGCAGGAAGATCACACATTCCCCACCCTCCCAAGAAGGGATCCCAATTTTTTTTTCCATAAATAGGCTTTAAGATCGACGCATTCCCACCCCCATTTGAATGAAAACTCTTGGCTGGCTCCTTTAAGCAACTCTTAAAATAAAGCCTGGATTTTTTTACAGGCATTGGAGGGGGGGGTGAAGAGCATTGTTAGATAACTTAACAGGCCCAGGCAAGGGCTGGGAGGTGACACCCCCTCTGCAGGACAGCGAGGCGCCCTTCGCCTGCCTTGCCTGGATCTCCCCAGCCAGGGCTGAGGGAGGGGAGCAGAGCCTGGTGCTGGACCTGCGGGCGGAGGGGACTTACCAGCCTTCTCTTGGGCTTGATCAGGGGCCGGTTCTGCCCGTTCATTTTATGGTAGAGCCCGCAGGCATTGCACAGATAGTGCCCGGTGCCATCTCTCCGCCAGAGGGGGGTTGAGGTAGCCCCGCAGTTTACGCACTCCCTGCCTTCTGGAAACAAGAGAGCACTGGAATTACTTCAGAAAAGCGGCCAGCCTCACCCAGTGCCTGTGTAGTGGGGCCCAACCCTGCCTCCTAGGACCTTGATCCTTCCTCCCAGAGCCCTGATCCTGCCTCCGAGGGCCCCGATCCTGCCTTGTAGGGTCCCCGTCCTGCCTCCTAGGGACCCAGTGCAGTCTTCCAGGGACCTATCTCACTGGGGCAGACAGAATTGGGCCGTGGCATGGTGTCAGTTCCCGCACCAAGCACAGGGGCTGATTCCTGCAGCTCCCTTCTGGGCTTTGCAATCAACCTATCCCAATGGGGCAGAGGGGAGGGCAGGGACCATAGGCGCCAGACCCCAATCCTGCTTTCCCCCACACTGCAGGGGCTGGAAGCAATGCAGCTGCCCTGGTGAGACTGGAGGTACTGGGGCACTCCCAGTCCAGCTCGGCCCAGCCCCCGCCACAGCCAGGAAGGCAGCTTGCAAACCGCAATCCCAAACCCAGGAGCAAGAGGATAGCCTGGGGACAGGCTTGGAGGCACAGGGAGATTCGCCCCCTCCACTGCAGGTCCCAGGCAGGGGCACAACCTCGCACTGGACTGATGAGCAATCAAACCAACCAGCCCAGCCCAGCCCAGGGGTTGCCGCCACCCCCAAAACCCCCCTGGTCAAGGGGCCTGATCAGTGTGCACTGGCCAAGCAGGCCCCAGCCCCAGAGCGGGCGAGCCAGCTGGGCATCCCTCCCTTGCCCCCAGCCACTGGCCAGTGCTGAGGGCACTTCCCCTCCATCCCCCTGCAGCAGCCTGGCCTGATCCCCACTAGCCCCGAGCTGGGATTTCCATACTAATGATCAGCTGGTCTTAGTGCAAAGCAGTGGCTGCCCCAGGGTGTGGAGGGGAGGAGAACGCGAGATCTGTCAGGGATCTGTCAGGGATCCCGTGGCCAGGCAGAG